GTCCAAAAAAGAAAGTAGGTCCATTGTACTTTCCAATGAGACCAGAGCACATGTGAGTTCCCAAATTAATTCATAGGCCTCCTTTGAAGAGCAAGTCTTAATGCCCTCTATTAAATTACATCTCTTTATTTTGAGAAAATGGATTTACTTATTCCTTTGCAAGAAACCTGAGAATAGCATCACCAATCACTTTAGGTGACATCTACATGCCAGCGATGTTGGGTTATATAGTGACTGACTGACAACTGAGACTTCTGCTATACCTAGGAAGAGCTTAATAAAATTGATTTAGCAGATTTTTTTATTATTCCCAAGAACAGGGTTGATAATGAGATTTTTTAGCTAACCACACTTCGCTTGACAAATTATGAAGAGATCAATTTTTTTTTTCCCATTAGCCTCACCCTCATCAATGGTTCAGCTAAGGTCAACTAGCCCTCCACTTGTAGTTAATGGTACACAATCTTTGTCTACTGATTTTTCTTTGTCAAAGCCAAACAGAAGAAAAATCAAATGCCCTTATTTCAAATTCAGAAGAAAAATACTTTTTTTAAATTAAACACTCTTTTAATTTGAAAGACACAAAGAATATATTTTGGAGAGTATGTCTTAGTCTAGTACGGTGACAACCGAAGGCAAAGGCCATAAACTGAGTGGTGCTGAGCATCTAGAAAACCCATAGTACAAAATCTTGGGCCAAATCTCAGGTCACAGAGAATATTATTGTTAATTTTAATGAGGCCTGAATGTCTTCTTTGGATTTTACCAGAAGAGGCAAGTACTCATCAGTAATAGTTTCTATTAGCATATTTTTATGTAGAAAAAACATTCTAAAACTTAAAACATTTAAAATTTTGATTACTTCATTGTCTTTTTGTATTACTGCACAAGGCACAGAGTGTATATTTTACACCCACCTCCACTCCCTGAGCTGGCTGGAAACTCACCATTACCACAGTGTGGAATTGTGACTTTTCATAGCTATATATAAGAGCAAAAAGAATCACATTTTCAGTCACTCTATCTTTCTATCGTGTATATGTAAGCCATCAATGTAAGACTTGTTAACACAGAAATAAGTTTAACATAGAAATAAGCATATCCTTCTTGTGCTGAGGGCCCCAGACCTGCACCCAGTGCCCCAAGTGGGGCCTCACAAGAGCAGAGTAGAGAGGGACAATCACCTCCTTTGACCTGCTAGCCACTCCTCTGCTGATGCAGCCCAGGGTGTAGTTGGCCTTGTGGGCTGCAAGCACACAGTGCTGGCTCATGTCAAGCTTTTCATCCACCAGAACCCCCAAGTCCTTCTCTGCAGGGCTGTTCTCAGTGAGTTCTTCTTCCGGTCTGTATTTGTGCCTGGGATTGCTCTGACCCAGGTGCAGCACCTTGCACTTGGACTTGTTGAACATCATGAGGTTCACATGGTCCAACTTTTCTAGCTTGTCCAGGTCCCATTGGATGGCATCCCTTCCTTCTGATGGATTAACTCTACCACTCAGCTAGGTGTCATCTGCATACCTGCTGAGTTTGCACTCAATTCTACTGTCTATGTTGTTCATAAAGGTATTAAACTTCTCTGGTCTCAAGACAGACCCCTGAGGGACACCACTCATCACCAACCTCCACCTGGACATAGAGCCATTGACCACAACTCTCTGGGTGCAACCATCCACCCAGTTCCTTGTCTACTTAATAGTCCACTCATCAAATCCATCTCTCTCCAGTCTCGAGATCACGACATTATGTGGGACCATGTCAAAGGCCTTTCAGAAGGCCAAGTAGATGACATTGATAGGTCTTCCCTTGTCAACTGTTGCAGTCACTCCGTCATAGAAGGCCACCTGATTGGTCAGGCATGATTTACTTTTGGTGAAGCCATGATGGCTGTCTCAGATCATATCCTTGTCTGGCATATGACTTGATGTTGCTTCCAGGAGGATCTGTTCCATGGTCTTGTCAGGCACAGAGGTGAGGCTCATTGGTCAGTAGTTTTCTGGGTCTTCCTGTTTAACCTTTCTAAAAATAGGAGTGATATTTCCCTTTTTCCAGTCACCAGGGACTTCACCTGACTGCCAGGACTTTTCAAATATGATGGAGAGTGGCTTGGCAGCTATACCAGCCAATTCCCACAGGACCCTGGAATGAATGTCATCAGGCCCCATAGACTTGTACATGTTCTGTTTCATCAGGTGGTCTTGAACCTGCTCTTTACTTACAGTGAGAGGGACTTTGCTCCCCCAGCCCTCTCCCAGAGCTCAGGGAAATGAGAGTGATCAGATGAGGAAGGACAGCATCCCGTGGGAGGGACCGCACATGGAGCAGGGGCAGAGAGTGACCGTGATGGAGCAGCAGAGATGAAGCATCAGGGACTGATCACTGCCCCCATTGCCTGTTCTCCTGCACTACTTGGGGGGAGGAGGTGGAACAGGGTGGATGGGGGGAAGGTGAGTTTGTTTTTTGTCTATTTGTTTGTTTCTCACTGCTCTAGCTTGTTAGTAATAGGTAATAAATTTCATTAATCTCCCTACGCTGAGTCTGTTTTGCCCATCATGGTAATTGTTCAGTGATCTCCCTGCCCTTATCTCAACCCTTGAGCCTTTTCCATCATATTTACTCCCCCTTTCCCTTTGAGGAGGGGGAGTGAGAAAGTGGCTTTGGTGGAGTTCAGCTGGCCACCTGAGTAAAACCACCACAGTCAATGCAGCCCAGACTGACTCCAATCTTCACCTCTTGAATGAGTTCATCCACATTGGTGAGCACGAGCTCCAGTAACGCTTCTCCTCTGGCTGATTTGTCTAATACCTGGACCAGGAAGTTATCCTTAATGATCCTGGATTGCTTACAGACTGCTGTGTAGCTTAAAAGACTATGTATGCTTAGTCTCAGGTAATTGATATATATCAGGAGTCAGGCACAATGTAATAGTGTATAGAGATTATTAGTTGCTGTCCAACAGATCTTAGTGTACTTTATTTTACTGTGATTTTTGATTTTTTTCCTCAGTTTAATATCACATTGGAAGATAAGATTAATTACTGTTAGCCCCACATATTGCCGTTATTAATACTAGAAATTTTTAGAAGTATATAGCTAGATGGATGGATGGATGGATATTAGATCTCTTCTTAATGGATTACAAGTACATTGAATGCTTAGGGATTTGTTTAACCTCAGATGATCACTACATGAATAAAGTAAATTTTGTGGAGATAATTAATCAGCTTCAGAGAAAAGCTTGCAAACAGGCACCTTTATTCATTAGCTGGCTGGAAAGAGCCAATGAAGCATGAATTGATTACCTGGAATACATTAACTTTTCTAGATGCTGCCAACTGTGGTTCCTTCTTCCTTTCTGCAGTACATTAAGTAGAATCATGACTTCTGTTATTTGGACTAGAAAGACATTGAGTTTGCATTTCAAATTCATGCAAAAATCAATACAAGCAAAAGACTAAGTCCATATTTCAAACTTGTTATCATCTGGCTGTAGTTTGCCATAGAGGGAGTGTCAGTACAAGAACAACATGAGGGTAAAAGAACTTAAGTGTGGGAAATAATTAGAATCATAGAATCATAGAATATCCTGAGTTGGAAGGGACCCATAAGGATCATCAAGTCCAACTCCTGGCACCACACAGGTCTACCCAAAAATTTTAGACCATGTGACTAAGTGCACAGGTCTTGATAAATTGTTGATTTCTTGATACATTCTTGAATTCTTTATAAATTAACTAAATTTCCCTTATGGACAAGGATCCATGAGAAATTTAAATCCAAGATTTTGTTGTTGTTGTTGTTAAAATACAGAATGGTTTGTATTGAAAAGAACCTTCAAGATCATCTAGTTTCAACCCCCCTGCCATGGGTAAGGACACTTCCCACTAGACCAGGTTTCTCAAAGCCCCATCCAATCTGGCCTTGAGCACTTCCAGGGATGGGGCACCCACAGCTTTTCTGGGCAACCTGTTATAGGAATATGCATTTCCCTAAAATGCTAATTTAAAACCTATCAAACAAAAGCATGGACCTGAGTGGTCTTATATATATCTCCACAGGCTATGATGGATTAGCCTTACAGTGAAATACATCCAAGTTGTCGAGCCTTATGGCTTGTCTATAAACATTACCCCTTGAAACAGAGTATTTTGAAACAATTCTTATTTGGCTAGATCCAAATCCCACAATCTTTCAATTTGTTTCAATATATAAACCTCTCTAGTTTTTGCTCATTGATAATCTGTGTAGTACATGGTGCAGAAATAGCTGCAAAGAGGAGACACAGAGGCTGGCTTGACATAAATAACTAAAAGTGAGGTACATGAGATGACAAACCACCCCTTCACACATAGAGCAAGCTGTAAAAATGCATGCACCCCATCCCTAGAGCGGATGCAACACAGCTATCCACCCCCAGATTCACAGACTGTGGCAGCTTTTTGTCAGTCTCGGAACCAAAGGAAGCCACTGTCACGCACAGCGCTGAAGAGCAGACCTGGCTGCCAACACCATAGCAGGCTGGGGAGGATCAGGAAAGAAAGGCACTAAGAATATAACTGAAGGCATAGATCTTCCTTCTTTCCTTGATAAATCTGCATGTATGTTGTTGCCATACAGTAAACTAGTAATTTTACAAAATGTCTAAAACTTTCGGTCATTTCATGAAATGACTGTTTCGATCACAGATATGACTAAAATTTTCAGTTATTTCAGAAAATGGTTAGATATCACAGCCAGACGTTATAGGAAATGCCTAAACCCAGTTTCTCTTGGATCACAAGACAAGTGAAACAATGTTTCTATTACATTTATTTTTAAAACTATATACTGGTATTTATATCCAGAACTACATAGCAATACACATCACAGAGCTAACAGTTATTTTCAACATTGAGACTATTTCAGAAAATGATTTTTTTTTTCATTTTACAAAATAACTGCTTTCAGAAAACACCCTAACAGATATTACAGGTGCTCAGCGAGAAGGAGAAGGAGGGTGGGAAGTGAACATGTGAATGGCTAGCCAGTGTCAAAGAGAAAGTAAATTCTTCCTATCATACAAATTCTTCTCAATCCATGTACTCATGATTCAGCATTCACCTTTTTAGTTTGCTTATCCTTTTCTATCAAATGAGCTTCTCCAAGGAGCTTCTCCAATCCCTATAGCCACGGGAAGAAATATGAATCCTGCCCATATGCATCAGACAAGTGCCACTCACAGTAGACACCCTGCAACCAGGGTGACCTCGTTCTAGTGCCATCATTTGTGTAGCTCATTGCAGGCAGTGTACACCTTCACTGGTGCTACAGAAGTTTGCCTCAATTCATGCAGGAATACCCTGGTCTGGTAATAATCAGACAACACAACCCTTGCAAGTGCTAGGACTTAATGATCCACACCTCCCTGCCAGGGAAAGGCTCCATATCAGAAGCACATGAACAAATAATCCATGAAAGCAACAGATGGTGTGGTGAACTCCATCAATGAGCATCATTAGATGGAGACCAAGGAAGGTCCAGGGGAGAAACAGAAACAACAGTAGTGGCATTGCAGTAGATTTCTGATTTATTTATTTATTTATTTTCAATTGATTATGCTTGGACAAGAGGTGAAGTCATAGGACTAGCCTTAGATTTCAGTTGAGCCTTGAGACCCTGCAGCATGCCTAGATTGGAGAGAGTGAGTTGGTTTTCTCCAGATCTTACTACCCTCTCCCAAACCTTTGGAGCAATTTCTACCACTCTTCTCCATCACAGCCAATACCAGAACAGCAGGAGTCCTGGATCACTTCTGTGCAAGCCCTCTCTGGAATTTTTGAATCCTAATGTATCCTGATTATTTCAATCTGACGATGAAACAACTCATCTTCTTAAGTACCTTTGGATATAAGCATGATTTAGGTGCTGTGTCAAAGCCAAACAGAAGAGACTCCCACCCAAAGAACAACGCTGTCTCCTTCACACTCCAATGAGCATCTTGAAAGAAATACCAGCAAGGAATACAGATGTTAAAAGGAAACAACCTACTCAGAGAAATTTTGAGTGTAAGGAAGTTCCCAGAAGGAGAGTCAGCGAAAGGGCATGTTGTCCCATGGCTAGAGAAATTCTGAAGGACTGAAAAATGTATGACTGGTCTTCTGGTTTGTATCACTGCTGTTGTTTATTAATTCCCTGAATAGTAAGAAGTGGCTAGAGACATTATTTCCCACATAATCACAGTGTGAAAGCACATGGATAATGCCAGGATTCACCTTCTGTCAGTTTATACAACCGAGTGAACCAGGCATATCATCCAGAACACCTGTAATGCCAGTCAGTTGGCAAAAATACCTGAAACCTGTAATTATTTCATGAAAGGACTAATTTCACAAGATGACAGTAATAAGCACAGACACAAAGAGACATACATACATTTTAAGATACTGCAATGTATACTTACATGTATATATATGCATGCCAAATTAAATGCACAGTAGCCAGTTGTTGAAGGAATTGGCTGATTATTTCCCATTGCCACCAGCTGTCTCCTGCCTCTGCAATGATCACTCAATACAAATGAATGACCCTTGTGTTATGAAGAACAGTTTGTCATTTCAAAGTTTCATTTGCCAGCTAGGGTAACACGGCTGTAGCTTTTGCATTATCCTCCACAGTGTTCTTATGGGGCTCCCCAGCATTCTGAAAACAATGAATCAAAATCATTCTGATCTCAGTTCCAATCCCAGCAATGGCAACACATTACATAAAATGAGATTTTAGTTGTTGATATTTTTTTTAAATATCATTTTATACTACTAGGAAAAAAGTTTCTGAAATTTTCAATTCATTTTCCCACTTATTTCCTGAACTGACTTGGCAGTTCCAGATTCCTCATCTCATGCTTCACAAATTAAATACAATGAAAATATGAGAGCCTTTCATTTTAGGAGCATGATATCATTTATGCTTTTACTTATTTTATTTTATTTTCACTTCAGTCACAATTTCTTATATTTCTCTTGTTGTGTTTTAGGCTAAAGAGATAATCTAAGATGACTGTGCTGTTCTCCCAAGCCATAGCCTGTCAGATTGCTGAATTATCAGTACCTAGTCAAGCAGCACAGTAGAAACAGATCACATATGCCAATTCCCCCCCACTTGGTAACCATTTTCCAGTCACTGGAGGAAAGTGAGCAGTCCAATCTCTCTTTTGCATGATGGAAGTTAGTTCAACTCTATAGCTTAACAGATGTCCTTGGGCAGCAGGTGGTCCTGTGAATTATATCAGAGAAACCAATAAGTTGTGTATTATTCTGGAGGCTCTTAGCCCTCTAACTTGTTAAAAGAAAACATTCCTTTTCTCTTTTTCCTTTTTTTTAATGAATTTTCAGTCAGGCTGCCAACTTTATTTAAAAATACTCTCAAAGAAAATAAGCAGGGAAACTGCTATCTATAAGAAAAACTCTATAGAAGTCTAACATCGATTGTTGATATCTGGAAACAAAACTTTGGATGAGTAAACATACTGAAAACATCCTACTAATATTGTGTACATTGACATCCCCCAATTCAAGCAATTCTGATTTACACCAACAGGAAATCCACCCCAGATTAGTCATGACAACACAGATGAGAAGGGAGCAAAACCTGTGCTGTCAAAAGCACTTATAAAAAATCCTTAATACATTGTCAAAGTTTTTGGTTGGTATTAGCATTGTTTTGTTTTTGTATTGAGAAAGGAAACATATTTTGACCAATATTATAGCCATATCCATTTTCTTCACAATATAAACAAGGATTCATATTCACTGATACAAACCTCAGAGTATCTATCAATAGTCATATTTCTGGGCAGAAGTGATGCCTTATGCTTAATGAAGGAGACAGAAAGCCCAAACATCTGCATTCAATCCCTCTTTCCACAGACTTTGTGGACATAGTGAGACTCACTCCTTGAATGTACCTCAGTTATCCTGTGTGTGAAATCAAGATAATAATGTGTTTTCACTCACTCACCAGGATGCTGTGAAGCTTAATTCATAAATGTTTACAAAGTTGTTTTAAGGTGCTTGACTGGAAAGAAGTATACATGCAAATGATTTCCTATCTGCATCACGGCACCGCTGATGCTGAAAAATATAATGCAATATACACAGATGAATATAGATCTTATTCTGTGTATAGCATTATAGATTCCAGATTCCAGCAGATGCAAGAAATAATAGGGAAAAAAAAAAAAAAAAAGGATGTGCTCTGCATTTTCTTCTGTAAGGTAAGGGCTGTATATTACAGTCTACTTTAATCAATAATATAGTCATGCTACTAAAAATGAGCTAGAAGATGATTTAGGAAAGCAAAGAGATGAGTCTTAAGGCTGCTTTCTCCCACAATTTAACTTCCCTACTTCCCTGTATTTTGACTTTTGACATATCTTGAGAGATAAAAAAAAAAAAAAAAAAAAAAAAGGAAGGAAAGAAGGAAAGCATAAAGCATGCATCTCTGGTCATTCAGACAGGATGAAGTCTACAGTCAACTATTTCAAAAATCCCCATCCTCAAGTAGAATGGCAGCAGATTTGTATGCAGTGACAGGTTTAACAAATCACCTGAAAATTAGGTGTGACCTGCTAGGAAGAACAAATTGAACTGTAGAAAGAGAATCTGCAAACATGTTGTTTTCTTCTTCAATGAGTAGCTTTCCCAGGGCATTCAGAGATTATGTATTTAGATGTTGGCAAAAATAAGTTACTGTTTCTCTCTCCTCCTAGCTTCGTACAGACAGCACAGTAAAGAGGATGTGAATGAATATATTAGTACTCATGCATCATCAATACATTTGTTTATGAACTTCCCCATGCTTTCAAGACAACAAAGTTGCATAATTAATACAAAACTAACCCTGTGGAGGAAAAGAAGTCAGACACTCAACTGCCTTGCACTTTTCCATCAGTCCATGAAAGCTGTGTATAAATAGCTCCCGGAGTTCTCCACTAATATGTAGAGATCAGAGGAGTTTTACAGTCAGTTACAGCTGGTTTTCACACAGGTATAAATGACTACATAACATTTAAGGCAGTGTTGAGTGTATTGCATTATTACATGATGTGTCCTCCAGAGCTGTTATCGCTTCTGATGATGCACAAGAAGCAAAGAAACCAACCTTTATTCTGAAAACTCAAGAAGAATTTACAGAGCTGGTAGGATGAACTGTGATATTTCAAGAGTCCTTCTGCTGGAAGAGTTGCATGTGAAGGACTTAATTGCAGTTCTTGAACATCATCTGCACCCAAGAACCACGTCAGGAGACACTGTGCATGTGAAAAAATACATGCCCACTGTACTGGATAACAGTGCTTGCTTTACCCTTACAAGTGCATATTTTAGTCAATCCAAATCTGGATTGTCCAAGGGAAGGGGCAGATGCCCAATGATGACCTTTGCTTTGCCCCACTGGGGAGTATGTTGGCACCAGTTTACCTTCTGTCATAGTTGCAATGTTATGAGAGATATGAGGCTGGAAAAGTCTTGAGGCCCCTGGGACCAAACCCTAAATGGCTTCTCAGATTGTAGGCAGTTTTCAAAGAGACCTTTATGCCCTGCACACATTGTAACCTACAAGGAAAGATGTTGAAATTAAAGCCCTAAATTACAGAGGTCATTCATGCCAGAGGGGGGATTTCCCTTCCATTTAAGAGGCTGTTCTGTAGTGTGATGTTAAAGTGGAAATCTGGTTAGTAGCAGATGACACTCTGCCTTGAAACTGTGAGTCGTGTGGCTGTTTTCACTTTCTACTCAGCAGCTAGAGGAAGGCACATCACAGCCAACTTCTACCCTCAGATCTATATACACATAGCCTAGTACTTTCTCCAGTCTGAGGGGAGAAATTAGTTCTCCTTTATATTAGCTCATATTTATGATCAAAATTTCAGGAAATCCTTGCATAAAATTTTCACCCAGAGCACAGTAATAGTCCCTGTTACCACGGAGATAGCCTGCATCCTCATTCTCAAGGATCAAGAACCATGCTTTCCACTCCAACTGTGGATCTTTTCCTCTGTGAAAGTTGATGTTAAAAAATCCTCAAACTCCCTAGAGTCTGATCGTGGCTTTGAGAAATTGCCACAGGGCAATTCAGAGCAGACTCTAAATAATTCAGGTGCCTAATCACAGATGCTATAGGGTGTCCGAGGTATTCTCACAGAGTGACAGACTTGACACAGCACCAAAGGCAGAGCTTTTTAGGACCAGCAGTACAACCTTGCAGAGCAACAGCTAGAGACCAGATAATGTATCCTTGGTCATCTAAAAACACACTTGTGTTTAGGCAGTTGAATCCCTTTTGGTCAATCTTTGCACTGATTTCTTCAGTACTAGATTAGGTGCCTAGGACTTTGTTTTGAGACATAGTCAGTCTAATAAAAATACAGACAGGAATCAAATGGGATTTTCTAAAAGACAAGGGGTTGTTGTTGAAAAAAAAAAAAAAGAGAATAAAAACCACTCAACAGTCCTTGGCTGCACCATTAGAAATTCATACAGCTCCAAAAATATTGGTCAGAGTCTCTGTTTACTTTCTGTGGCTTTACGTAACAATAAAAATAATTCATAGTTAATGTTACCTCTACATCCATTGCTCCATCTTCATATCAATGTTATCTCATAGATAAAATACATTAGTTAAAACAAAAACACCTAGGTCTAGGCAAAGTACTATTCGTCACAATCACATATTTCAAAGCAGATGGGCAGATATTCACCAGTGGGACAGTTAAAAGAGAGGGTCTCGGCTTCTCATTTTCCGCTTCAGTCACACGGTATTACAAAAGATCAAAACAAAAACAATGCAAACCTTCAGAAAGCTACACCAAAGAAGAAGGTGAAATACAATGTGATTTGCCATTACAGTCACAAAATCACAAAGAACTACGCAAGAGAACAAAGCTGAGTGTTTAACAGTATCAGATAAGTAGAGGAGGCAAAGGAGGGAGAGAGTACCTGTTAAATTACCCTTATCCAGATGTGATCAGATTTCTGCAGAAAACATGGAGCTGAAGGTGGTTCAGTTACAGCACTGAAATTACAGTAAATGGGGTTACTAAAGTTCTCATCTTTTAGAGGTGAGTAGAAATGTTCAATAGAGCCCTGAAATTCTGCACTGATGAGGGTTTTATTAGTGGATGGATAAATGGATGTAAAACTCGATAAGTAAATTGTACTTAGAGAAGGAGGATTATTTGGTCTAATAAAAGCATAAGAGTTTAGAACTGGGCTCGGTGCCCTTATTTTAAGACAGATTGATCTAGACTTTGAGATTTTCTGCTATGTCAAAGAAAATGAAAAAGGCTATGGCCCTCTAAAAATAAATGTGTTGCAGATAATATACAGTGTTGGTACCTTTCTATAGAAAAGCTTCAGACAGTAGCATATTTCATGACTTAAGAAAGTCTGTGGAACAATTATGTCTGCAATTACATAAGTCTGTTCTATTTTGCCTCTATCCTAGTTTTATTATATCATAGGTTTTAACCCAAATCATCATAGGTTTTAATGACTTTAACAGAGATCTTTCTAATTTAAACCAATGTCAGCAAGAGCTAAATCAGATGATTTGTACTCATATGATTAACAATATATTTCACAGAGCCATCCAAGTATCTTACCTTCACAGTTGACAAGGAATAGAGTCAACAGATTATACCTAGTAGGAATGCAAGAGAAAATAATTCATTTGAAAGACATTCTTCACTCCATTTTGGATGATTGCTCACAACAAAAAGGTGAGAATCTCTTTGTCCCGGTTTCAGTTAGAACAGAGTTAATTTTCTTCCTAATAGCTGGTAGAATGCTATGTTTTGGCTTAGGATGAGAAGAGTGCTGATAACACCCCGATGTTTTAATTGTTTCAGAGCAGTGCTTATACTAAGCCAAGGACATCTCAGCTTCTTGCTCTGTCCTGCCAACGGGCAGGCTGGGGGTGCAGCAGGAGCTGGGAGGGGACAGACCCAGGACAGGTGACCCAAACTAGCCAAAGGGGTATTCCATACCATCTGACGTCATGCTAAACAATATATAGGGGTGGCTAGCCGGGGGGAGGGGGCCGGACTGCTCAGGGTTAGGCTGGGCATCGGTCAGCGGGTGGTGAGCAATTGCATTGTGCATCACTTGTTTGTACATATTATTAGTAGTGGTACTATTATCATCATTGTATTATTATTATTATTATTATTATTATTATTATTATTATTATTATTATTATTATTATTATTATTATTATTATTTTCCTGTCTTATTAAACTGTCTTTATCTCAACTCACGGGCTTCACTTTCCATTTCTCTTCCCCGTCCCAGAGAGGGAGGGGGAGGGGGAGCGAACGGCTGTGTAGTGTTTAGCTGCCGACCGGGTTAAACCATGACACTCTTGCTTTCTAATACCTCAATCATTACAAATACAACAGCAAGATGAGTTAGAAAAACTGTTTACTATATCATGAAGTCCAGCCATATGAAAGAATTTACTCATGAACTAAGATTGCAAAAGTGACACACCTATAACTATGATAAAAATCCAACAGCACTATTACCACCAGGATTACTATGTTCAAAGAAAACTAAGTGACTTCAAGCTGTCAACTTCTAAGTAAGTAAGTAAGTAAATAAATAAATAAATAAATCTTCAATTAAATAAGGAATTAATGTCTCTCACTTGGTGAAATGTTGCATTTGCTCGTTCCTGTTCACACTCACTGCTGAACAACTAATTTTGACATTCACCCAAAGGGAGTAGAGCAGCTCTATTTCCTGCCCACCTGAAATGCCCAGCTGTTTCTGAAATTTTGACACATTTTTCTTACCTGCATCTTATGAACAGAAATCTAAGTAGTACACAGCACAAGCAAATATAAGACAAAGACCTGCCTGTGTCTTCTGCTGACAGCACTATTTTTGTAAATTCTGCAGAACTTGAGCGCATAGAATTGTTAGCTGGGATCTAATGTTGCTGAAATCCACAGCTGATAGCTGGCTAGTAGCAAACTTCCTAATTTGTACCCAGCTCAGTATCATAAGGTGAGGAGATAACAGCCTACCTATGGCAAACTGTAAATCAGTATCTATTTGAAATATCTCTCTCCTCTCTGAAGGCTAAATCACCCCAGGAAAGACTGCCCTAAAACCTGAAGCCGCAAAAAAAAAGTTTTCAAAGGCATCTAAATGACTTCAGTTCAGCTTTCTGCCATATTCAAACAAGTGCCTGTGACATAACTGGAGCAATTTAATAAGATACTAAGCCTGTGTATTCATTGCCCCCTCCCCAACTGTTATGATCCTGTCAGCTGAGGATGGACTGAGAGAGTGCTCCTGCTCTTTTACAAAGCAGAAATAGAACTGCTTAAACCACCCTCCAGACATGTATGCAGTTTCCAAATGTTAAGCCAGGTTCACTTTCTGGCATTTGTTCCTAACGTGTTTCCAGCCCATTTGAGACAGAATTATTTGATTCCTCTCTTTTTTTCAATCCTGTTTCAGAGTTCCAATCATAGCTTCATTCTCTGTGTACTGCATGTTGCACAATGCTGCTCTGCCCATGTGGAAATCCCCTCCACATTGTCGCAATCTCTTGTCTCATAAGTCAGTGATTTTCAAGTGCAACTTCCATTGTGCCACCAGCAACTTTCTGTAGCGACCATACAGCCATAAACCAGTAATATCAGCAGGCAGACACAGCAGAATTTCACAGCAGCAGCCCTGTTTTAAGCAGCCTGCACTATGATTCCCAAGCACAGTTTGAGCATGATGTCAATATTATTAAGCAAGTGGTGAGGATATATGCCATACTGTGGTCAATGTAGAGTGTAACAATATTTGAAAATAGCTTGAAATATGTAGAGGAAGAGCAGCTAGTGTTATCCACATGCACTAAACAGAGCTGAAAAGTAGAAGGAAACCAGATACTCTGCTTTGCAACTGTTAGGCAGATGAAAGATTACTGTACCCATATGATACAATGTCAGTGCACTAGCACTGCAGAAGAGTTGCAATAAATTTGGAGAAAGCCTTATAAATCTCCAAAGGTAAAGCTGTTCTAAATCTAAGACAAATGAACTCAGTTTCAACTGCCCATGCCCATTGCCTACGTGACAATTTAGTGAAGAATAACAATGAGACATGGTGTAATATGTTGTAAAACAATTATTTGGCACACCATAGGCTGACCCAGTGATCTTCTGTCCCAGGAAACAGGAATTGAATTTGACACTGTATAGGGGTAGAAAGTATTTTTCCCTTCTGTAATGCTGTATATTGCAATCTATATATATAGACTGCAATATATTTCACATACTGTAATTGGCTTATGTGGAAAGGGTTTGGTAGCAGCTGGGCGGGGGCTACTGAAGTGGCCTCTGTAAGCAGAGCCAGCAGCTGCCCCACAATAGATCAGAGCCAGCTCCAGACGGCTCGAAAAGGGACCTGCCAATAGCCAAGCCTGAGCCATAAGCGATGTCGGTTGGGCCACTGGGAGAGCAGAGTTAAGAAAGGGGGGAAAAAAAAATGTACTACAGTAGCTGGGAGAGAGGAGTGAGAAAATGTGAGAGAAGCAGCCCTGCAGACCCCCAGGTCAGTTCAGCAGGAGGGCAGGAGGTGCTCCTGGCACGCAGCAGAAGTTCCCCTGCAGCCTGTGGAGGGGCCCCTGCTGGAGCAGGCTGTCCCCCTGCAGCCCATGGGTCCCCCATGGAGCAGATCTCCACGCTGCAGCCCCCCCATGGGTGGAGGAGCCCCCGGTGGAGCAGGTGGATGTGGCCTAGAGGAGGCTGCGGCCCATGGAGAGCCCCCACAGGAGCAGGCCCCGGGCCAGAGCTGCAGCCCGTGGAGAGGAGCCCACGCAGGAGCAGGGGGTCTGGGGGGAGCTGCCGCCCACCCGTTGGGGACTCGTGCTGGAGCAGTTTGCTCCTGGGGGATGGACCCCGTGGTATGGAACTGTGTGGGAGCAGTTCTTGAAGAGCTGTTGCCTGTTGGCAGCCCCTGCAAGCCCTGCAAGCTCAGTTAGGGAAGGACGGCATCCTGTGGGAGGGACCCCGCATGGAGCTGGGGCAGAGAGGGACTGTGAAGGAGTGGCAAAGTATTACAGACTGACTCTAACATCTATTCCCCATTCCCCTGCACCACTCAGGGGGAAGAGTTATAAGAGGGTGGATGGGGGAAGGTGTTTTTAGTTTGCTTTTATTTTTTCCCTGTGCTAGTCCACTAGTGATAGGCAATAAATTATAGTATTATATATAATAAACTCCCTATGCTGAGTCTGTTTTGCCCATGACAATAACTGATGGGTGATTTCCCTGTCCTTACCTCAACCCTTGAGCCTGCTGCAATTGTATTTTCTCCCCCTTTTCCTTTGAGAAGAGGAAGTGAGAGAGCAGCTGTGTTCAGCTGCCCATCAGAGTAAAACCACAGCACATATTGATGTAATACACTTTATTGATGCAATGGATTTTACATATTAATTCATTTTTCATCCTGCATTTTTGGCCCTGGTTTCCATACTCAGAAAGTTCACAGACACTCATGCTGGCACTTCAGCCCTGTATGACCTTCAAGGCCTATCTTCCAAGAATTTTTTTGGCTTCTGTACAAGTGACAACACAGTTTTGTACTAAAGACGTGTCTCAGCAGATAATATCCCTTCTGGGGCCATAAGAACAACAACCTGCACCAGTGTTTCACTTGTCCAGTATAAACCAAGGAAAAAAGACAAGAAAAATTCCTGTCCCACTTTTCACTTTCTTCTTCCTTGAAGCAAGGAGTTAAGAATGCCCCTCAAAGTATAGTGATACGAAGATAACACATCCAGTATCATCCAGAAAGAAATCTAATGTGATCTGTGGAACAGGAAATGTGGCCATACCTACCACATACACAAAGTAGTCAGTGCTGGTTTTTATTTTTTAGAGCAATAACCAAGGATTTTAGTACATCAGACCTGAGTGTGCTCATATTCTTGATATTTCATAGCCTTACTGTGGAAACCTTTGTAAGTCTCTTAGAATGAGCTTCAACCTGTTTTAGTCATCAAGTCTAATGACACTCTGTAAAACACCAGAGCAGTCCAGGAAGGAGATTGATCCCTGTGGAATTTATTATGGGTAGCCCTAGAACTAGAACAGGGCTGTGCATTAGGATCAAAATCCCTTTCACCAAGATTAGGTGCTGAAAGTCTAAGTTGGTCACCATCGACTCTCTGTTTATTGAATGCACCCAGAACGAGTGGTATCAACATTTGTCTGTGCAAAACATTGTGGAACATTTTTAAATACCAAACAAATGTTTAAACATCACCATCTGGTTGTAGATATATCAATACAAACAACCAAACATGATACAACTAAGTGTGTTAATCAGTGCCTGATGATTAATTCCCACGTCATTTCCCTGCTCCCCTACTGTTCAGTTGCTCCTGTGTTTTTTAGACCCAGGTTGCTCCACTCAGAGCCTGCTACCATATGTGCACATGCCTACATAGACACACAAACAAACACACATACATATCTAATTAGCACTATGAACAGTGGGATTCCAGTTCCGACCAAGACCTTTGATTCACCCATATTATAAATTATGAATAATGAAAATAATGGAAATGCACAAACAGAACAAAAAAAATGGGACAATGGTTGCCCAGTTGCAGACTGCCTTCAGCTCTAATTAGACCCCCAGTAGCTCTGCTGCACACTTCATCCATCAGAGTTGCTGCCTCTGACTTCAATTACAATGGGTGTGCAAAGTTGTATGAATACACAA